CTAACAAATGTGTTTACAGAGCTCGTCACAAGCGTCCGCCCCGCCCCGTAAGAGGGGGCTTTACTTGAGGTAGAGCAACGAAAGTAGATTGCAGAGCGATTCCAATGCACCTTTATGTGTACAGAGTGCGGGAACTGTATCTCCACGGCATTCTGTGCGTAATTCTCCCTATTAATTATTGACGCGTTTGTAAACTACTACTACAGTGCACTAAAAACCGTGGCTTAGAAGAGCGCCAATCGACGAGGTAGCTCGATCTCCCGCGCAGGACGGAGAGTCATGATGCCACGGTTTCCTCTAACTGTGGCCTCTATGGCACTCGCACTCATTTAGGATCGGAGCTGTACCCCTTCTCGTTTGTGTGAAGGCCTGGTCCATTGTGTGCGCATCAGGCGTGTAGCACGCACAGACGGGGTGTTTAGCCTTGTCGATTAGTGCTCCCAGTCCCGTCTCTGGTCTTCCTGAGACTGTCTCAACGCCAGCCTCAGCTGGAGCGAGTGCGGCAGATACTGAGCAAAGCTGCCGTCAATATAGACTAGCGAGTTACTGTCCCTGCGCCCCCATGCAGTGGGGCTCGCGGTGGATATCGTCCTTCGCTACGGTCAAGGCAGTCAACATTTGATTATTGTCTTTAAAGGTGAATGACCAAAAGAGATGTAATGTTTAAAATGACCATCTTTGACTTACTTTCTGTCATCAGTCATCCAACGTCGATCTGGCCATTCGTTCACTACGCTTATCGCTCACGTTTTATCAGCGGCGTATGGTTTTATTCAAGGTCGCGTGGATATGAATTTCACCCACCTGGCCTGACAACAGAACGGGATACGGGAGTTCTGTTCTGCTGCGTTCGCAGCTGTTACAATTCTCTGACGGTCATCGATCCGCGATTTTGATCCTGAATTGCATAGAGTGAATCAACACCGACCCAAGAATCTTTCAATGCTGCATGCTTCAGAATGTTTAATTAATGATTCGGTTTAACCCGAGTAACAGAAAAGAAGCGGCCTCGGTGCGATCCGAACCGACAGTAGTAAGAGCAAGGGCTGAGTAAGGCCATCGCTCTAACCGCCAGAGCTATGAGATCCCGACCAGGAGTTGTGAATTTAATTACACTTCGATCAAGTTACACGTCTAACCTAATGTCACGCTGCCGTGGGTTCGAATCCCATCGAGCTTGCCGACTTTTCACAGTTCGGTCGAGTGAATTATTCCAATCTGCCTGAAACATCTATTAAGGTATGAGTTTTTGGTTACTGAGAATCGTACAGTTTCTCTTTTGAGGCGTTTGCGTTTATTATTTCAAGTCTTTTTGGGCTGTTCAATATGCCAGCTAGCTTATATTTAATCGTTTTACTTAAAAACTCGTCAAAGCCTGCAACAACTGAAGGGATATCTAACTCTTCGAGCACTCCGTGAGAACAAAACGCAAGTTGTACCGATTTTGTCGGTCGAAATAAGAGACGATTCTAAATAATGGTATTTTTTGAAAGCATCACTTTTAAGAAGTGTAGGAAAGATCCTCGAATAGAAGGAAAGATGCAAGACGATTTTTCTAAATTTACCATTATTGGCCCACTCACACAGCCACTTCAGCTCCCTTGTGAAATAAAAATGTCACCACGTGTTCTTCGAATTATCGTTCTTGTTCTTTTCATTTACAGTCAGCGAATAGTTTTTCTTAACACACTGAGACCTCAGAGGGTAGTGTTTTCGAATATTAAGAGCAATTATCTTAGATCCCAAGTGTTCAAGCTAAAAATAGGCAGCTTACATTGCCGAAAGTTATCTCAGGACTTTCTTAAAACATGCCTTAACAAAAACACCATGGTGAGTTGGAGCAGAGTCGAAATGATTTTTATCCCTTACATACTATAGGTAAAAGAGGAACTAGCGTCTCTATTCAGTTTGTACAGCCTTTTAAAAGTTAACTGCTTTGATTTGACATAGTTCCTTATTGCGACTATCTGAAGAGAGTAGTCTCGACTGGATATACTAGTTCACAATGTAGCTCATCGGTGGCGACCAATAGTTTGAGATCTAAAAAGAAAAGATTACTGGAGACCACGCATTTCAGAGTTTGAACATGAGTCGTTATAGTGAAGGCTGGCAAACATGCAGCATTCTGATCTTCCTGTGCAACGCTTTAACAAACGCAGAAGTTCTCAGACTCTAAAAACTACTCTGCACTTCTTACTGAAGAGGAGCTTTTCGTGGGCCAAGATACATTTTCATCCGGCACATTCCAATAATTAACTGGGACGACAGGGCTCGCTCTTGTGCTGAAACCCAGAATACACTTTTTGCGAACAGGTTTCTTACTATCGCTTGAGGTCCCGAAGTACTATTTAAAAAGCTTATTACGTGAGATAAATTCCAGGTCAAGTGGAAGCCCAACCCAGTTGGGGTTTAATTTAGACTTCAACTATGTAGGGGCATAAACAGGGTTGTTTTTATAGAGGAAAACAGCTGCGAATTCTTTAAGTGTGTTGTTCGGATCCCCGTGCAATGTGACCCGTTTTTGGTGCAACAACCTCTCATCTGAAAGGGTACACCAAAAGTAATTTTCCTACAAAGTATTTAGAAATCAAAAATCAAATATAACGGAATGTTGTTGTACTTTTCGACTACTGAGTAGTTTTTCGGGAAGACTCCTTCCTACGGCTGTTTCTGATTCTGGATGATTTCGAAAAGTCGACCTGTCTTATTCCAGCGATCTCATTGCATACTTCCGAATTGCATTTATTTGTCATTCCCCCTTCAGCGGTATTTTCACAGTAAAACCAACCTACTCATTTTCTCTCCTGTTCAAATATGAGAAGGAACGCCGTAACTGCGAAACGGCTGTTTCACACTAGTCTACTGTTCACAATCCTGCTGTAACACAGGCGTTTTTGCTCGTAAGTGCGCAGCTCCGGGTCATGTGCGGTTTTCCCAGGTCAGAAAATATGCCATTTAGGCAGGGAGATTTACGCAAGCTTTTTAACGGCTGAGGCTGCCCCAACCGTCTGTGAGGTGTTCATTCTTCTACTGTAGATTCTGCCAGAAGCCGGCATAAATTAGCCTGAGGACACATCAACGCCGCGGTTGTTTGGGTGAATGCACTGGCCACAAAACACGTTGTCCTTTTGTTCTAATTGATCATTCGCCTTGTCCTTTCCGAGTGTTTTGGGGAATGACCTCATGCGCATTCTAACTGTATCTTGTGTGCTTCCTGCAACTGAATATTAGGCGACAGACGCATGCTCGAGTTTGGAGCAAATAAGTAGAAAAAGGCCGAATTTTGTCATCAATAAATGAGGTCTAAAAATCTAACTCCCTGTTGAGACTCTGTGTGCGTACCGTCAGTCTACTTGAAAGAGTTTTAACAGCGATAACCTAAAAGACTTTGATAAATAACGATAAGACTTTGACGGTTTTAGTCCCTGCGAAAGTTTAACTCCTTGAAAGGATGCATATTTAAAAATCAACTGTATGGATGAGGAAGCTCAAGTGGGCGAAGTCGATTATTCTTTGTCAGGCCAGTACATTAATATAGGTCTAGTTAGAGGAGCGAAATTTGAGAGGTCAAACAACTTATGATCAGTAGTCATAACCTGGGGCAAATGTGTCCAGACTTGTGGGGCAGTGGGATCAGTAGAGTCTAGTTTCTGTCAGTGGTACGGGAAGGGAGAGAGGGGAAGAGGCAGGGTAGTCTGACTGAATTGTGTTTATGTTCGTCGCTGTGGCGCGACGTGCCATGATACGGGTCTGAACTTGCATGACTCAGCTTTGACCAGGGTAATAGGAGGGCTGTAATGAGGGCCTTCTGCGAGCACAAGGTCGGATTCGTTGGTCGTACGGCCACTGCCTCTGCTGTCGCAAGTATCCGTTGACGTAGGGACTTGGAGTGTCTTGCAGCACTTTATGGATGATACGGAATGTTTGGGACGTCTGTCTGGTGGCCGGTGTCAAGCAAGTGAGCCACAGTAGTGCTAGAAATAGACTTTTCTTCGCCTTGATATAGCCAGGCAGGATGGTGCTTTCGCATCCGCTTGGATAGGCGCCTTGTTGTTAGATCAATATAACCCGCCCCACATAAACAAGTGAACGCGTAAATGCACATTGAGGAGGTCTGAAACGGCAGCTTATTATTGCTTTCAACGCGGAAACACGGGATGCTAGAGAAAAGTAGTCTTACTCTAGCGGCAGGGTACATGCGTGCAATAGCGCAGTTTAGATGACGCTATAGAAGGTCACAGGACGGGTCTCCTCGGAATGGCAAAGTGAGAAATATTTTTTTCTTATTCACCGTCGGTATATTTGATTTTGTTGAATGATCTTCCATATATCTGCTGACAAATTTATCGGGGAAACCATTTTCTCGCAGTGTTTTGTATGAAGGCGAGTTCGTTCTCCAGTGTATCCGGAGTACAAATTCGTCTAACTCTGTTAGTTAACCAACGGGCACAGTCTCGTTTCTGACTTAGAGGAACAAAGCTGTAGAAGTTTGTGTACTGCCTTGTCCATTATGGTAAGGTGATACCATAGTAACAGCACAGGTACTAGCCAAAAGCCCATTCACGCGTGTTTCGCCGATATTCTGCGCTGCAGGGCGCAGCTGCGAGGGGTTCGTCTCGTCAGTGGGTCCCCCAGCATTTCCCGTCTGTTTCCTGGCAAATATCCCATTTAGAAATTGACGCTTTTTAAGTTCCTCAGGAATTAACTGCGAACTTGGAGTAGATCAGTTTATTCAAGGTCTATAGGCTCAGACCGAGAATGTTATGTCGGTCTTTCCTCTGTTTTCTTGCGATTTACACGATAAATTGTCAATAGAAGCGAAGAGCCGAGTCCCAGGAAGTAGTCTTGAAGAAGGAGACACGATCGCCGGGACAAGAGCTTTATTAGCCTGACGTTTCGGATTCCTACTCGAATCCATCATCAGAGACAAAAGAGCAGAAACGTTTCTGCTCTTTTGTCTCTGATGATGGATTCGAGTAGGAATCCGAAACGTCAGGCTAATAAAGCTCTTGTCCCGGCGATCGTGTCTCCTTCTTCAACAATAAATTGTTCCATCAGGCATTCTGCTAAATAGGACGTCCAGAAATGGCAGGCATTCTCCCATCTCTCTTTCCAAAGTGAAGGTTAATGTTGGTTGAGCCTGGTTTACTTTAACAAGAAGGGCATCCAAATCCTATTTGTCATCCGCTATTAGAAAAACGTCACCAACATATCGAGCATCATCGCCGTATCACGCTATTTCAAAGCGGCTGGCAGAAACGCTTAAACCAGTGCAACATAGAATAGCACCCTGCAGCCTACGAGACACCTTTGAATTCATCAATTTCGTAAGAAATATGAATCTCGAAGGGAAAACGATATTATCATTAGATGCTGTGTCCTTGCTCACCAACATTCCCCTCACGCTGCCCCACAAGTGTGAACACATTTATCCCAAGTTATGACTACTGTTGATAGGTTAATGTTCATGCTGTTACTGTACTGACCTGATGAAGAATAATCGAAAACGAACGTTCTCCGACTTGAGCTTCTTCAATGTGTAAATGGGTATTATCAACTGTATCACTCGATCTTGTCAATTGTGTGAGATAAGCAACAGGGTTGATCCTTAGTTTTATGCTATTTACCGTATGCTAAAGATTTTTCGCCAAGACTTCCAAGAAAACTCCTAGCGCAGATTTAGTTTTCGGGAATTGTACGATTTATTTTGTAAGGATAAAAAGATCCAATGGCAATTTATTTATAGCCATATAAAAGGTCTAAAGTGTCATCGTACAAAAACAATCTTTTTCGGTAGGGATTAGGAAACTGTAAGGGGTATCTGATTTTCGTGTAGGTTGTTAACCCTTTCCCATATTCTAATTAATTCTGGAGGCGCTTTTATTTGTGTTAATTTTCGTGAACGTTATTACAGTTTGAATAAAGCTAGCCAGGGCCCATAGAGTATAAATCCCATGAGCAGTATATGACTTGTGGAATATTCGCATTCAGTGACAATGTCGAAGCGCATCCAGAGTTTTGTTAATGAAAACATCTGCGTCTCCATTAGACGAGGTGACAGCTGAACAATGAAGCAACGCTTTGTGCTCAGTTTATGAGTAGTAAATCTTTGTCACTTTCTACATATATATATATATCAGAGGGGAGACGACAGAGTCTGGGGTTAGATTGATACAGCACTGTTTCGGGCTTGTTTGCCTTCATTCAGCCAATCATAACCCTGACCACCAGCAGCTGGTACCGGAAACACAAACATGCGCTCAGACGCACCTGGCGCAGCTGATCCACCACTGGGGTCTACCAGATGGGTAATAAGCACTTCATCGAACCGAAGTTCATCAGTGCCTCGCCACCTGCCATTCTCTGTCGCTGCAGATCGGGTATTTATTCACTCAGACCAGACTCTGTCGTCTCCCCTCTGCTATCATAGCTTGACCGATTTCGGCCTGGTAGGTGGTTGCCTGTTCGTGACCCCTATCGCCCATACGAAGCTTGTTTGCTTCGGGAAGTCAATGGATCGGTGTGCGCCCATTCCTGAGTGAATATATATATATATATATATCAGGTGAATAATTTCAGAAATTAATCAGTGCAGGACTTGGAGTGAAATCTCCGGGACATGACTTTTTAGGGTCAGAACCGAAATTTCAATGAACATTTGAGTCGAAGACAATCAACTACTGTGGAATAACCACGTAATGCCCATTCTACAAACAAGTAGTACTACGAGTAGTATGAATTCCATATGGTAAAGGTATTATACCGTACTCCCGACATAGATACTTGCTAAAAGACCAGACACGTGTTTCGCCGATATTCTGCCGCTGCGTGACACAGCGTGACGCTGCGTGAAGAGCCGAACCCCTCGCAGCTGTGTCACGCAGCGGCAGAATATCGGCAAAACACGTGTCTATGCTTTTAGCAAGTATCTATGTCGGGAGTACGGTATAATACATTTACCATATGGAATTCATACTGCTCGTAGTACTACTTGTTTGTAGAATGGGCATTACGTGGTTATTCCACAGTAGTTGATTGTCTTCGACTCAAATGTTCATTGAAATTTCGGTCCTGACCCTAAAAAGTCATGTCCCGGAGACTTAACTCCAAGTCCTGCACTGATTAATTTCTGAAATTATGCACCTGATTATTCTCTGGAGTTCATATACCAGAAACCGTTAGAGAACGCTGGGGGTCCCACTGAAGAGCCGAACCCCTCGCAGCTGTGTCACGCAGCGGCAGAATATCGGCAAAACACGTGTCTGGGCTTTTAGCAAGTATCTATGTCGGGAGTACGATATAATACATTTACCATATATATATATTCACTCAGGAATGGGCGCACACCGATCCATTGGCTTCCCGAAGCAAACAAGCTTCGTATGGGCGATAGGGGTCACGAACAGGCAACCACCTACCAGGCCGAAGTCGGCCAAACTATGATATATATCGCGTTCATCATCCCCCAAAGAAGACGAAGAAGAAGATAGGGCGCATACATGGACCGAGTTATATTTGTACTGACGTTTCGGAAACCTTCTCGTTTCTATCGTCAGAGTAATGTGTTGACAGTTCCTGCTGGTCTTGTTTGCGTCAGCCTTGATACCTGCCTGGTATTATATCCGTGCGCGGGGCACGAACTCTGACCTGTCCGTTCGCCGCCGATTAGCGTTGGCCTCTCCACGATTGACCACCGGTGGGCTCCTGCCACCAAAGCAGCCCTCCACTGACGGCGTCTTGGTTCACAACTTGTCCTCCCAACGTTTCAGTCAGCAACAACTAGCCATTCTATCCTATGACGCAAAGTTCAGCACAAGAGATGCTCGACCAAAAGACTTTATTGCATCCTTCGAATCGGCGCTCCAGAAGTGTGAGGCAGACGAGGAGTGCAAAAACGTCATTCGACAACAAGTGTCGACTTTACTCCTCCAACATAGACGCCAGACGACGATTTCTAAGGCAGAAGATCGAGAACTTCTGAAAATACGAAAACTAGAGGATATCGTCTCCCTGCCCGCCGACAAGGGGCGCTCTACTGTCGTCATGGATAAGGCTGAGTACTGCAAAAAACTGGGCAACCTCTTGATGGTCAAGGAAGCCTATGCGCCATCAACTGTCAGCGAGTTCAAAAAGCTCGTAAACAGCATAAACAAGACGATCGGCAAGCTGAGGAAGACGGGCGCTCTTACTAGAAGGGAAGCGCTGGCCGCAAATGCCAGTGATGCCGTAATGGCGCGCTTCTACGGCCTACCAAAGATCCACAAGCTGGGAGTGCCGCTACGCCCCATCGTCTCCTTACGTGGTACCCCAAACTTTTGGCTGTCAAAGTGGCTGTACCAGCGACTTTGTTTCCTTACCAAGGATTCAGAGTGGACGGTGAAGTCGGCTGAAGAGTTTTTGTCGCGCATCAAACGTCTCGAAGTGGAGGCAGATGAGGTGATGGTGTCTTTTGACGTGATCTCATTGTTCACGTCCATCCCACCCGCTCTGGCTATCGACACTATTGACGGTTTTCTCCGGGAAAAGTATGATGAGACCGATCAACAGCTCAAAGGAGTTCACATCATCGAGCTCCTAGAACTAAGTCTTAAGACGTTCTTTACATTCAACGGCCAGGTCTACGAGCAAAAGAAGGGGACACCGATGGGCTCGCCTCTATCTGGATTGATTACCGAAGCGGTTTTTCAGAGGCTTGAGCGGCTGGTCTTCAGCTCGTACCCCCCAAAATGCTGGGCCAGATACGTCGACGACACTTTCGTTATCATCAAAAGGAGCGATGTGCAGACTTTCAAGGCACTGTTGAATTCAATCTTTCCCGACATCCAGTTTATTATGGAAGAAGAGCTCAACAATCAGCTGGCCTTCCTTGAAGTACAAGTAAGAAAGCTGGAGGACGGGAAGATAAGGACAACGGTCTACCGCAAAGCAACTAACACCAGGCGAATCCTCCACTTCAAGAGCAACCACCCCGTTGGTCACAAACGCAGTTGTGTCAAGACCCTCTTCCAACGCGTTCAAACACACTGCAGCGACGAAAATGGGAGGAAGGAGGGGATTAAGTACTTGCACGCCCTATTTAGAGCCAACGGTTATCCCAAGTCCTTCATATGCAAGTGTCTTAAGAAGCCCCACCCTGAGCGGTCGGACGGAGAAAACCCGAAATTTTGGCTCGCAATCCCTTATGTGAAAACGCGTCTGAGGCGACGGCAAGAATCCTGAAGCCTTTCGGGATCGGAGTGGCTCACAAGCCAGAGTCAACAATCAGACAGCAAATAATGAGGCCCAAAGACCCGCTGCCGGTGACAGAACAATCAGCGGTGGTCTACAGCATATCATGCCAAAACTGTGATGTAAGGTATGTTGGTGAAACGGGCAAACGTCTTGGCACAAGATTGCATAAACACCAGCTTGCAATCAACCGCAAGGACAAGCTGTCTATGGTTTATGGCCACGTCAAACGGCAGAACCACAATTTCGCCTTTGAAAAGGTAAGGGTAATCGGCCGAGCCAATGATAAGCTGGCCAGACTGATGCTCGAAAGTTGGTCCTCGACTGGCACACTCAACAGAGACATAGATTTGCATCCCGCCTATCAAACGCTACGCACAAGGCTCGAGTCACTGCGGACAAGGCCATCAGGACAGTCGAGCAAAGTAACGCGTGGCCGACAGCCGATGACAGCAGAAAGTAGGAGAGAAGTCGGCCGGGGGTCATGTGACCAGCATGGGACGCCACCTCATTGCGAAGCCCACGAGGTTGAGATCAACTCACATGAGCCCCAACAACTGATCAGTCCGTTGAGTGACGAGGGGGAGGCCGACAAGCATGCTGGCTCGCCAACAATTACGACGGCCGCAAAGGGGTCATCAGTGGCAGGAACACACCGGCGGTCAATCGTGGAGAGGTCAACGCTAATCGGCGGCGAACGGACAGGTCAGAGTTCGTGCCCCGCGCACGGATATAATACCAGGCAGGTATTAAGGCTGACGCAATCAAGACC